TTCAGCATCTTAGCTGTAGACGGCAGTGTCACTGACCCTCATATGTAGGATCCGAACTGGGGCCCTCTGACATCCCAAGGCAGCTCTTAACCAATGCGCCACTCGGCCGGCCCTAGTTTTCTGATTTTTCTCTCCCATTTGTAGCTTTACAGTTTTGTTCTGTCTTCTGTGAGATTTTCTCAAATTTTATCTTCCAACCTTTCTATTGGGTATTTGATTTAAAATTTTTTCCTTTTTTGTTTTTAATTTCTAAGATCTCTTTTTTGTTCACTGTAAGTTCATTTTTATAGCATTCTATTTTCTTTTTTTAATAAGAGCTTTCTTATTGAAATAGTTCATAAACTGTAATGTTCATATTTTTGTAATTAACCATATACTTCTTAAAGTGGACAGTTCAGTGGTTTTTAGTATATTCACAAAGTTGTGTGCCCCACTATCTAGTTTTAGAGCATACTCATCACCCCCAAAGAAATCCCTTATACATTAGCAGTCACTCTCTATTTCTTCCTTTCCTTCAGCCTCTGGGAACTACTACTACCCTACTTTTTAATTCTGTGGACGTTATACATGCAAATAAAATTACGCAAAATGTAGCCTTCTGTTGACTGACTTCTTTCACTTACCATAATGTTTTCAAGGTTCAGCCATATTGTAGCATGAGTCATTCTTTTTTATTGCTGAATAAAATTCTATGTATGTGTATACCACATTTTATTTATTCATTCTTCTGTTGATGGACACGTGAGTTTCTTCCACATTTGGGTTCTTGTGAATAATGCTGCGGTGAAAATGGGTGTACAAATATCTCATTTTTCTGCTTTCAGTTCTTTTGGGTATATACCCAGAAGTGGAATTGCTGAATCACATGGTAATGCTATGATTAATTTTTGAGGAACTGCCATACTGTGTTCTGTACTACTGCGCCAAAATGCATTTCACCAGCAGTGCATATCCTTGCCAACAATTGTTATTTTCTGTTTTTTTTGTTGTTGTTGGTTTTGCTAATTGCCATATTAATGGGTATCTTGTTGTGGTTTTGATCTTGGTAGAATTTTTATGGGACTTTTGTTGAAAACCTGTTGACCATTAATGTAAGGATTTTATTCTGTATTCTCAATTTGTTTTCATTGATCTCTATTCTTGTCCTACTAGTGCCACACTGTCTTGATTAATGTAGCTCTGTAGTAAATTTTGAAATCCAAATTCTTTAAAACATTGTTTTGCTTGTTTTGGGTACCTTGTGT